AAAAAAAGAAGAAATAAATAAAAAAGAAATAAAAAAAAAAAAAAGAAATAAATAAAGAAATAAAAAAAGGACATAAAAAAAGATATAAAGAAAGAAAAAGAAAACAAATAAATAAAGAAAAGAAAAAGAAATTCATAATTAATTAAAAATATTAAAGAAAAAAAATGCAGAAATACTGGTGTAGGTGCACCAACAGCAGCAACAGCAGCAGCAGCAACAACAGCAGCAGCAGCAGCAGCAGCAGCAAATAGCTACTGACTCTCTATGTTGTGCTTCAGCAAGAAGAGCGGCATTTTCTTCTCTTAGTCTCATCGCCTCCACTCTATACACACAAACAAAACCCTAAACCCTAAACCCTAAACCCTAAACCCTAGCCAACCGAACAACACAGTAAGCTGAGCCCTTATATATGTCTTTCTTAACAGTAGAAGCTATTAGGGTTTAGGGTTTACGGCTTTTTAGGGTTTAGGGTTTAGGGTTTATTGTACCTGAGTCCTTCTGTTTCTGTTTTAAGAGAAGAATAAAGTCCTTCAATTCTCTCCAAGTGTTGTACTCTCTGCACAACAAAAAAAAAAGGGTTTAGGGTTTAGGGTTTAGGCTTGTTAGGGTTTACGGTTTATGAGGGTTTAGAGGGAGTGTATAGGGTCTAAGGGTAAGATATATCTTATTGAGGGTTTATATATTGCTGCTGTTTATCTATAGAACATCTATATAAAAGGGTTTAGGGTTTAGGGTTTAGGGTTTATTAGGGTTTAGGGTTTATTAGGGTTTAGGGTTTAGGGTTTACCATTCTTAGTGCATTAGTAACATCTGCATTTTGTCTTCTTTGTTCATCTATTTGTTGTTTTAATTCATTTATCTTTTGTTCTTGCTCTATCCTATTAATATACAAACAAACAAACAGCAGCAGCAGCAACAACAACAGATACTGCAGCAGCAGCAGCAGCAGCAAATACTGCAGCAGGAGGAGCAGCAGTAAGAGAAGGAGCAGCACAAACAGCAGCAGCATCAGTAAACACTGCAGCAGAAGCAGCACCACGAGAAGCAAGCAAGAAAGGAGGAGAGCAGCAGGAGCAGCAGCAAGAATAACAACTGCAGCATCAGCAGCAGCAGCAGCAACAACAATGGTGTATTTATGAATAACATTAACATTAATGAATTTATATTGAAATTTATACACACAAAAAAAAAATTAGGGTTTAGGGTTTAGGGTTTAGGGTTTAGGGTTTAGGGTTTAGGGTTTACGTAGATTGTTGATTAATTTTTTGTAGATCTAATTGATTTTTTAATAATTGAATATTTTTTTTTAAATTATTATTTTCTTGTATAATTTTTTCTTTATAAGAAAGAAGAAAAAAGTAATCTTTTTTTATTTTTTCTTTTTCTTGTGTATCTATTCTTGCTGCTGATTCAAGTTGCTGCTTGCTGCGCTGCAGTTCATCACTTAGCTGCTGCTGCTGCTGCAGTTGCTGCGAATATGCAGCACACATTTGCTGCTCATGCTCTAATTGTTGCTGTAAACGGCTGCTGCTGCTGCTGCTTATTTGTAGCTGCTGCTGCAGTGCTGCTTCCCGCTGCACTTGCTGCTGCTTTGCTGCTGTGCATGCAGATAATTCAGCAGCAAGTAAATTATTATCACGCAGCAGCTGCTGCTCTCTGTTGCTGCTCTCCTAACAAATAACATAAATAAATAAATAAATAAATAAATAAATAAATAAATTAAATAAATAAATTAAATAAATAAATAAATATTATAATTAACAACAAACAAACAAACAAACAAACAAACAATAAACAACACACAAACAACAACAAACAAGTACCTAGCTAGCTAAATAAATAAATAAATAGCTAGCTAGCTAGCTAGCTAACTAGCTAGCTAGCTAGATAAGGGATAATTACCTGTGTTAATCTATGCAGTGTATCTATTTGTTGATTTGCTTCTCTTTGTTTATTTTCTGCTTCCTCTAGTTGCTGCTGCAGCAAAAGTATATTTTCTTTTAAGGAAAAATTCTTTTGCTGCAGCTGCTGCAGCTCATCATACAGCTCAGGATGCTGCTGCTGCTGCTGCAGTTGCTGCTCTTGCTGCTGTAGCTCATATATTAAACGACGACCATATTCTTGAGTTAACTGCACACAAACCCTAAACCCTAAACCCTAAACCCTAAACCCTAAATTTAGGCTTAACAACAACACATATGCCATGCATAAAATACACAAAAATAAATAAATAAAAATAAATAAAAATAAATAAAAATAAATAAAAATAAATAAAAATAAATAAAAAATAAATAATTGGGGTGTATATACACTATACCTTTTGTATATGTTGTGTTATTTCTTGATCTTTTTCTCTATTTAATTTAATTGTTAATTTTCTTTCTCTTTCTGCCCATTCTTCCTCCATCCTTCGTTGCATCTCTGTTGCTGTTATAGGAGGGGGGAATATTACCTGCTGCTGCTGCTGCTGCTGCTGCTGCTGCTGCTCTAGAGGGTCTGCATAACGAACACGAGGGCTAATAAATCCTCGAGGGTTTAGTTGTGGTTGTTGCTGCTGCATGTACTGCTGCATATATTGTTCTTGCATTTGTTGCTGCATTTGCTGCTGCTGTTGCTGTTGCTGCTGTTGTTGCTGCTGATTATTTGCTGCTGCTGCTGCTGCTGCTGCTGCTGCTGTTGCATCTAATGAATTTCTTTCTGTAGATTTATTAGAAGAAAAATCAGAAAAAGAGAATTCATCTTCGTTGCCAACTAAGACTGTACACTGTAGAGGAGGCAATTGACGCCTTTCTTTTTTTCCTGCTGCTGCTGCTGCTGCTGCTGCTGTTGCTGCTGCTTTTGTTGCTGCTGATGGTCCTGATTGTGCTGGTTGTGGTGATCCTGATGATGTATCATCTTCGCTATCTGTTGCTGCTGCTGCAGCAGCAGCAGCAGTGCATGCAATACCTCCTGCTGCTACAGCTTGCTTAATAACAGAGTCAACATTGAATACTTTTCCTTTATATAATTGGGGTGTATAGGCACCTTTTTTTTCTTCTTTTTCTTCTCTTTCTTTTCTTCTTTCTTTTATTTCTCTTCCTTCTTCTCTGCATGCGTTGCTTCTTAATGCATGCATATCCGAGAAACGAGTAGCTGGGCGTAACCGTGCTGCTGTTGCTGATGCTGCTCTGTTGCTGCTGCTGCTGCTGCTGCTTATCTGCCGCTGCTGCTGCTGCTGCAGCGGGGGCTGCTTAGATCGGAGGGGACGGCTAGTCTCATCCTGGCGATCTGATAACAACGCATGCAGCACACACCAACAGTCCTGCTCCTGCTGCTGTTGCTTCTACTGCTGCTGCTGCAGCTTCTGTTGCGGCTGCTGCTGCTGCTGCTGCTGCCGTGGCAATTGCTGCAGCATAGCTTACCTCGTGTTGTATCTGCTGCTACATTTCTTCTTGATGGTGTTCTACTGGCAGCAGTCTGCATGCAAAGAAAAAAACAAGAAAAAAAGAAACAAATAGCTGCTGCTGCTGCTGCTGCTGCTGCTTGAAGAGGGGCAGCAAGAACAATCATGCTATCCGTTAATAAACTACAGCAGCAAGAGAAGAGTTGTCGGGAAAAGCTGCTGCTGCTGCTGGTGCACTGTACCTGTTGCTGCTGCTGCTGCAGTTGCTGCTGCAGCTGTTGCTGCTGCTGCTGCTCTCTCGACGTCAGCCTGCTGCTGCTGCTGCTGTATAATTTATCTCTTGTTAACGGTGTCTTTTGCTGCACCTCTACTACATGATATTGTCCCTGTCTATTAATAGGCCTTGTGCATGCAGGGTAGGTGTCTATACACCTGAATAAAGAAGATACAGTACAATATATATGTCATAAACCCTAAACCCTAAACCCTAAACCCTTAAGACTACCATTTAAAAGGGAACAAAAAGGGTTATAAATATATTTAAATGAATAAATAAGCAAATAACAATATAAATATAAATATATTTAATTATATTTGTTTATATTTATATTGAGGTGTACGTACACCTCAGTCTTTGGTAATTCCTTTGGATCATAAAGAATGTCCAAATCCTTCTTTAATACTGCAAAAGAAAACAAGAAAAATAAATAAATAAATAAATAAATAAATAAATAAATAAATAAATAAATAAATAAATAAATAAGCTAATTAATTAATTAATAATATTTACCTTGTAATGCTCTTGCAAATCGATCTAAAGAGTCTTCTTCTTGTGAGGCCGACATCCTTAATATCTAAACCCTAAACCCTAAACCCTAAACCCTAAAACGGAGACACACACAGTGTATATACACATCCCCTATATAAGCATATATACACCTCTTTTGTATAGCCTGTGTATACATAAAGGGTTTATTACTGCATGCATTAGTTTGCTGTGTATATCCGCCTTTGCATGCCCTACAAGTATTTATGCTTGCTAATGTATTGAATATAACCTCTACTGCAGCAGCAGCAGCAGCTGCTGCTGCTGCTGCTGCTGCACCAGGAGCTGCTGTTAGTTAGCTGGGGTGTCTATACTTCTCAATGCTGTACTTACGTTAAAAAGATGAAGGAAATGAAGAGATGAAGAGGAGAATATCTTTGTATGCAGATCTGCGGTGTATATGCAGCTGCATATACGTGTATATATACATATATATGTTTATATATACGTATATATATACGTATATATGTATATACGTATACGTATATATGTATATTTGTAAGGAAAGGAGGAAGAGATCTCTTATCTCTTTGTCTTAAGGGGAAGAAGAAGACCTAAAAAGGAATTACTTTCTTCGTTTTTATTATGCAAAAATAAAGAAGAACAGAAGAAGAGTCTTCTTTTACAGCCTGTTGCTGTCCCTCGCCTGCTGCTGTTGCTGCTGCTGCTGCTTTTGCTGCTGCTGTAGGAGGATCAGACCTTGAAATGAATGTTTTTTTTCCTTTTTTATGATTAAATAAGTCATAAAAGAAGAATATTTATTTAATGCCTCTTGTAAAGAAAAGTTCTCCTTTAGGTGTATTGTATTGGCTGTCTGTTGTGATCCTTGTGGCCGGCAGAGAAGAAGAAAACAACAAAAAAAAGAATTGTATGTTATTTTTTCTTGTATATTTAATTAAATATATGGAAAATAAACATAAATAATAATTTATTAATGAATAATTGTATTTATTTGTGATGATTTCCTTCTTTTATTCCTCTTCTGCTCCTCCCATCAGAGCCGCAGTATTATATGTATAGTAGCCGTCTGTTTGTCTGGTCCTTGTGGCTGTCTGTACCAATGGTTTATTGCCCATTTTTTAATTTTCTTGATTAATACCCTTTATAAAAGTAAACAAATTTAAATTAATTAATTAATTTTATAAAATTCCTTCATTTTTTACGAAGATCGCACCCTTTATTCATGTAGCTAGCTGCATGATCATCATCATTCCTGCACATACACCCTACGGTGTATAGGCACCTTATTCAATATGAATAATACCTGCAAATATTCTTCTTATCAATACTTTTCTCTTTATTTAAAATGTTCTCTTTTCTTTTTAATTATTCTTCTCTTTTTCCTTTTATTATCCTCCTTATGAAGAAGATCTACTAGGGGGTCGATCTCTTATATATAATATGTTGTCTTGTGCATGTCGTCAGCTCTATACTATAGAAGAAGGAACAAGATACACAAAGAGCAACTAAGTAAATGTAATTCAATAATTATATGCTCCCTATCAATAAAAATATAATAAATAAAAATAATGAATGCATTTTTTTTCCTTAAAAAAGGATTTATAAGAGAAAAGCTCTCTACACACCAACTTCATTAAGCCGTAAACCCTAAACCCTAAACCCTAAACCACCTTGATGGTGATGGCGTATGCAGGGTTATAGTAGTATATACATTGCTCCATAAGAAATAAGTAAAGAAAGAAAAGAAGTTCTTTGCTTCATTTATTGCATAGTGCTACAATTATTCCCTTTAAATGCATAATGCATGCAAATGCATGCGTATGCATACGCATATGCATGCATGCAATGGATTCGTTACATTGTAGGTAAGATATTTTATATCTTGGGGCTTTTTCTTATTTGTTGCATGCATTTTATTTACATGCACAGACATATGTTATAAATGATTAGGAGAAGCAGCAAAATAAATCTTCCTAATAAAAGAAAAGAAAAAGAAAAAAGAAAAGAAAAAGAAAAAAGAAAAAGAAGAAAAAGAAAAGAAAAAAAAAGAGAAAAAGAAAAGAATTAATTAAAATGTTTATAAGTTGTCGTTGCTTTTTTTATTAGCTAAGGTCGCACCCTTAAGGTATCTGCTGCTGCTGCTGATGGTGCTGCTGCTGCTGTTACTGTTGCTTCTACTGCCGCTGCTGCTGCTACTGCTGCAACTGTTGCTGGTGCTGCTCCTCCTCCTTACTTCAACAAGAAGAAAATAAATTTCTTCTTTTTCTTTAATTTAATGAAATAATTACTGTGGTGTACATACACCCCAACAACAAGATAGTCATAACAGTAAAGAAAGAACAGAATATATTTAGGGTTTAGGGTTTAGGGTTTAGTGTTTACTATTAAATATAATAATAATATTCATTTTAATTAACGTTATAAATTATTATTTACTATTTTGTTTATTTAATAAACAATTCATAATATAAATGTAACAAAAAAAGATAAACGGCATATATATAGGAAGGAGAAACAAAAAAGAATTCTTTTTCCTTTTTTACTTTTATGCATAAAATAAATAAAAATAATTAAATTTAAAAGAATTCATAAATAATTATAAATATAATTATATATATTTCTATATAATTATATATAATTATATATAATTATATAATTACGGTTGTGGCTAGCTCCGGTGTGCATACACCCGAAGATTTTCCTCCTTCCTTCTTAAAGGAGAGAAAACTTTTGTGTATTTTTTGCAGAAAAAACCTTATTAAATGTTATTAAATAATAAATAAATAAATATAAATAAATAAATAAATATAAATGAATATAAACAAGGAAATATATTTATATAAAAAGGAGAGGAGGAGGGGAAAGAATGTATTGTATAGCTATCGATATATGGATACTGTATTTATTTTATGGATTTCCTCTAGAGAAAAAAGAAAGAAAAAAGCAAAAATATTTTTTTATTTTTATTTTTATTTTTATTTTATTTTTATTTTTCTCTTTTATTGCAAATTTCCGTGTCTACACATAGACAAAAAAAAGAGAGCACGGAGGAGGAAGAGAGAGGAGAGGAAGAGAGAGGTGAATCTTTTCTTTTTCCCCCCACAAGGTGGGGGGAAATGATGAGAAAAAGAGGAGGAAAAGGGCTTTTTTGTTTTATTTTAATTAAATAAATTAAATAAATTAATTATTTTTAATTTAATTTATAAAGAAGGCGAAGAAAAGCAGATAAAAAAAAGGAAGAAAAATATTAGCGAGACGCGGTTAACCATTTGTGGTGTTATTGGTCACGATTCATCATTAGGAGAGAAATATAAGAAGAAAATGAATAATTTTTATATTTTTTTATTTATTTATTTAATAAAATAAATAATAAATGAATATTTCTTTATTTTACTCTTTTTTTTTCTTTTTTTTCTCCTTTTTACCCCTAAGAAAAAGATGAATTGGTGCGCTTTTCCTACCGTGTGCAAGAAAGAAGGTGCGCCTTCCTTCATCTTCCTTCTTCTTTCTTCTTTTCTTCTCCTTTCTTCTCCCTAATTATAAATAGAGAAGAAAGTAACTTTTATTTTTTATTCATTTATTTATATTTATAAAAAGAATTTGATTTCTTTTCTTTATTTTCTTTTTTTATTCCTTTTTCTTCTTTTTATACAATAATAGAAGATGGAGGGTGTTGAGGTCCAACCACATATTAAGCTACGCAAGGTAATTTTCTTTGTCTTCTATCTATTTTTCTTCTTTTTTTTCTTTATTTCTTTTTTTATTGTTTATTTTTATATTTAGTTTTAATTAAACACAATAGAAGAAGTACACAAATAGGAAAATTATTTCTTTTTTTGTGTATATGTGTGTATATGTGTGTGGGTGTGTTGGGGTGAGGAGGATGAGGGAGGAAGGCAAAAAGGGGAAAAGCTGTTCTTCTTTCTCATTTTTGTCGTTAAATTGATGGAAAGCAGAGTTAGAATAATAAATATAATTATAGTAAACAATAATAAGTACTATTTGTTCATGAGTAACATTTATTTTATTGAATATTTCCTCTTTTTCTTCCTTACAGTTTTCCTTCATTTTTTCATGTATTCATGATTAAAAAAGAGGAAAGCTGAAGAAAAAGCCTAAATAAAATAAAAAGAAACAAAAATAAATAATATTTATTCATGAGGAATGTTAATTTATTGAATATTTTCTCTTGTTCATGTTTGTCTGTTTCTTGTTTGTTTGTGTACACAGGGTCAGGTTCATCCTGTAGTGCTTACTATGGGTGATCCAGCAAGAGTAGACGAAGTAAAGGAATTATGTGATAGTTATGAAGATTTAGTATTTAATAGGGAGTATAAATCAGCAAATGTAGTAAAGAATGGATATAAATTTACAGTAATAAGTCATGGTATAGGTTGCTGTGGTGCTATGATATGCTTCGAGGAATTAATTAAATTAGGAGCTAAAATTATTATTAGAGCAGGAACTTGTGGTAGTATGAAGCCTAATATAATAAAACAAGGAGAAATAGTAATACCTTATGCAGCAGCAAGAGATAATGATGTATGTGATTTATATATACCTGTACGTATGCCATGTGTTGCAACTCCTCGTATATATAATACATTATATAATATATCTAAACAATTAAATATTAATACTAAATTAGGTATTGCATTAACTAATGGAGTTTTTTATGGTCATGGACAAGAACATATAGATAATTTAACTAATTGGTCTAAATTTACGGATATTGTTGATTGTGAATTCCAATCCCTATTCCTTGTTGGTATAGGAAGAGGAATAGAAACAGGAGGTATTGCTACTGTTGATGGATCTCCTCTTCAATGGGATAAGGTAAATATTTACTTTTATTTATTTCTATTTATTTTTATACTTTTCTAGCCTTTAATTAGGGTTTACGAGGACTTAATTAGGGTTTGCGAGGGTTTAGGGTTTAGACAGGGTTTCATATGGATAGGGGAGAGGGAGGAGGAGGGGTGGGGGGGAGAGCAGCATATTGAATAATCTGTATATAATGGGGGTAAAAAGGAGAAAATAAACAATTTAATTAATTTGTTTTATTTTGTTTTGTTTCCTCTTTTTTTTTTAGGCAAATTATGATCCAACAGGAAAAGTTGTTGCTGAGGGTAAGAAGAAGATGTTAGAGGTTGCAATTCATACATGTGCCGAGCTTACAAAGGAATTTAAGCAATAAAAAAAAGAAATTATAATTTAATTATTTAATTTAATTGTTATAAAGTGTATTAATTGTTATTTATGTAGATGTTTATTGTTTAATTAAGTGTTTTTCTTATGGCGGACAAAGTCTTACTAGCCGCTTGTTGTTATACGTGTTTGTTAATGAGGGAGAAAAAGAAAAAATAAGAAAAGGAATATATAAAGTTCTTTTCCTGACCCTAAAGGGGGATCGTTTGTTAGAAAAATGTATTTAAATAAAAATACATTAAATTAAATTAAGAAAAGGAATTAGTTCGTGTATTTTGCCAATAATTATTATTTATTGGCCAGCAGCGGCAACAGCAGCAGCAGGTCGACTGCTAAGTGACGCACAGTACTGTATACAGGGTCGGGTAATGGTAAATAATAAACAGCAAAGACTATTATAATTTAATTTAATTAAGTTAATTAAATTAAATTATAATTATAATTGAATTAAATGCGTAAGCAGCAACAGCAGCAGCAGCAAAAGATGAACAATTCTTCCTTTTTTCCTTTTGCTGCAGTCCGTCTTATTGACCTTTCTTAAGGTCTATTCATTATTAACCGTCATTGTTTGCCTATGCCATTGTTATTAAGTTTGTTAGGTTGTTATTTATTCCTTTTCTTTCTTCTTTCTTCTCTTTTTAGTTATTATATAGATTAATAGACTAACAGGCAGATAACAATCAATTAAATAGGGTTTAGGTATTTAAGGGAGAGAAAAAACCGCAGGAAAAGGGGTTTAGGGTTTAGACATCAAGAGGGGAGCAAGGGGAGGGAAAGGGTTTAGGGTATAGGAAGGGGAGGAAGAGGCAACAAATGAATCATTTTGCCTATAGAGGGGAAAATATGGGGACAATAAAGTGCATGCATTTATGCATGCACTTTATTAGTAAATAAGTCTGCATGGATGCATGCGTACATTTTATACTAATAAATATGAATTAGGGTTTAGGGTTTAGCATTTTCTTCCTCCATTTCTATATTAGTGACGACTGTCTTCGTCTCTAGATAAGGAGCTAGTCCTTCTTCTCCTCCCTCCCTATACAACAAACAAATAAATTATATATTAATTATACATAATTAATAAACTAATAATAAATATAACAGTAAATATGCATTAATAAAGAGAATAAGGGTCAATAAAGATAAATACACTAATAAATAGGAAAATAAGAATAGGGATGAAAAACAAGGATAAAGATAATAAAAATAAGTAAAAAATAAATAAGTAAATATAAACAAACATAAATAAATAAATAAATAAATAAATAAAAGGACTAACCTGCCGTATCCGCTAGCTTTATAACCACCAAAAGGAATACCAACATCACTAGTTAGATAGGTATTTACCCATACTGTACCCGCATGCAGCCTATACACAACAAATAAATAATTATATTTATTTTATTTTATTTATTTAATTTTCCTTTAAATAGGGTATAAATAACAGAAAAAGATATCCTCAAATAATATACAACAAAAAACTTTTAGGGTTTAGGGTTTAGGGTTTAGGGTTTAGGGTTTATTACCTGCTAACGAAATGTTCTGCAAGAGGAATACTCGATGTAAATACCCCCGCCCCTAATCCATACTCAGTATCATTTGCTCTATCAATCTAAAAGAAGAGAGGAAAAAATAAAATAAATAAAATAAATAGAATAAATAGATTAAGAGAGGAAAATAAAAAGGGTTTAGGGTTTAGGGTTTAGGGTTTACGTTTATCGTTAAGCAGTCTATATATATATAAGCATACATACATAAATAAATAAATAGATAAACTAAGCAAAAATACAACCCTATTGTTTTGTGTTTCCTATTGTCCTCGGGTTTAGTGTTTCCTTGGGTTTAGTGTTTAGGGTTTAGGGTTTAGGGTTTAGGGTTTAGGGTTTAGGGTTTAGGGTTTACGGCCTCCTGAATTGTATGGAATTTATAGAGACAAACAACAGGACCAAAGATTTCTTCTTTGGATATCTTCATCTCATCCGTTACATCCGTAAATATTGTTGGCATTACCCAGTAACCTCTATATAAATAAATAAATAAATAAATAAATAAATAAATAAATAAATAAATAAATATAAATAAATAAATAAATGTTATAAACAATAACATAAACATTTATAAAATATAATAACAACTAATATAAACACAATATTATAAACCCTAATAAAATATAAACCCTAATATAAACCCTAAATAAAATAAATAAATAAATAAATAAATAAATAAATAAATAAATAAATAAATAAAATAAATAAAATAAATAAAAAAAAGAATAAATAGAGAATATACATACTTTCCTTCCCTTTTTATACCTCCAAGTACACAATTAGCTCCTTCTTTTTTTCCTTCTTGTATATAATGAATAATTTTATTTAATTGTTTTTTATCAACAATTGGTCCTTGTGTACAACAAGGAAGAAGAGGAGAAGATAAATTTGCTTCTTTTTTTATTATATTTATTAATTCTTTTATATATTCATTATATACACCTGATTGTACTAATACACGACTGCATGCAACACAACATTGACCTGAATACATAAAGCAACATATACACATTGTTTACTCCTCCTGCTGCTGCTGTTGCTGCTGCTGTTGCTGCTGTTGCTGCTGCTGCTGTTGCTGCTGCTGCTGTTGCTGCTGCTGCTGTTGCTGCTGCTGCTGTTGCTGCTGCTGCAGGAGCAGACTTAGGGTTTATTAGGGTTTTATTAGGGTTTATGAGGGTTTGGCTGCATGCGAGCAACGCCTATTCTTAAAATTATTATTATAATTATTATTAATTATTATTATTTATTATTTATAATATTAATAAATAATATAAATAAATAAAATAAATAAATAAATAAATAAATGAATAATTACCTGAATTACATGTACATATAGCTGTCTTATGTATATTAGCATCATTAAGTACAATAAGAGGACTATAAATGCATATTTTTATTTATTATTAATAAATAAATAAATAAAATAAATAGATAAATAAATAAATAAATAAATTACCTGAATTAGTGAATAATCCTTTCCATGTACATATAGCTGCATTATGTATATTAGCATCATTAAGTACAATAAGAGGACTATAAATGCATATTTTTATTTATTATTAATTAATTAATTGATTAATTAATTAATTAATTAATTAATAAATTAATTAATTACCTGAATTAGTGAATAATCCTTTCCATGTACATATAGCTGCCTTATGTATATTAGCATCATTAAGTACAATAAGAGGACTTTTTCCTCCTAATTCAAGGGTAATTCTTTTTATATAAAAAGAGCATTTTTTTGCGACTTCTTTCCCTACAGAAGAAGAACCAGTAAATGATACTTTTCTTACTAATGGATGTATTATTAAGGATACACCTACTGGATCCCCATAACCATTTATTATATTTATTACTCCTTTAGGGAATCCCTATAAATATAAATAAAAAAAAAAAAAAAAAAAAAAAAAAGGGGGAAAAT